AAACCCGCGGAGACAGCACCGAGGACACACCTTGTTCCTCCCCACGGAGCCGCCAGGAGCCGCAAACCTCCGTCTGAAACGCGTGGCGCAGTTACCGCCTCGGTGTCACCAACTACACCGAGGGGGATGTAGGGAGTGCGTGAGCTGCACCGGCACTCCGAGAGGAACAAGGGCATGGCAGAGGTAAATAACTAAACGTACAACAACAATAAATAATAGCATCAAAGCAAACTGATGCTATACTTAGACAAACTGCTGAAGACACGTTTGGAGCGTGGTCCCAAGTACACGTCCCCAGTGCCAACAGTCACAAGTGTCTCACTGAGTCAGGCTGGGGCAGCTAGGTGCCACTGACGCCAGAAGGCACCAACCCAAGATTGCAGCAGCAAAGAGCCACACCAGCACCAGAGACAGGCAGGACTGTCCCTGCAGCTCCAGCCACACAATGCATCCAGCAGGGACATCTCTCCACCTCACGTTTCAGTTTGACGAAGATCATGAGAAACAGACCAGAGGATATAAGGTTAGGGATAAGAGAAACCAGATTTTTGAAAAATAGTTCCTTTAGAGTCTGTTTCAAGTTTTGAATCTATGATTTTGAAGTTTTCATCACTTAGGGTGCATGGATTAGCAGAGGACACACACATGCAGATTCAATGGCATACTGGTTTTGCATTAATTTAATTTATAAAGCAATGAAGCTATTAACTAACCAACTAACCACTTCCTGTCCTTTCAAACAAATAAAAAATATTTCCCTCTGGACTCCTTAACAAATGGTAGCTTTGTACTGTACATCCCTCTATAAATTAGCTTCACATCTTACAGTACACTGAGTTTTAGCTATATGAAACAAATTAAAAAGTATCCAAGACAGGCAACAGAGTCTACCGAACCATTGCAAATGGAATCATCCATTATATCATCTGATATTTGTCTACAAGTCCATGAATGGCTGTTTGCTAAAAGAAAAAAGATGAAAAACTAAACCCAAGAAAAAATCCTTAGGGTCATCTGAAATTCTAGACTACTGTTATCTTGTCATATTGGTGAAATAACGTCAACACCATAGGTCAATGGTAATTGACATCTGCTAAAGACATATTAAGAAAGCCATTGTAGACACATATTCTGGATTTGGAGCCACATCATAAAAAATTGGAGAGTTGTTTTTAGTATTAGCATTTCAATGAAACCTAATCAATGACCCTTTTGTTGTAATAGAACACCACAGTTTTCAGCACAAATATAAAGCTGATGTTGATGCGACTAGGAAAATGGCTAAGAAAACACTTCATCCTGTCTCAGAGTGATCATCCAGCTCAATGTTTCTTGCCAAAACACTACCAGGAAAATATTTATTAAGTGGACGAAGTTTTTTCTTTATATTGTTCATTTTTTTCTAGAAAATCAGTCTAGTGAGAACAACTCTCCAGGATAAACTTTTGCTCCCATGTAAATGACACTATCTGCCACCAGACTTTATGCCATGATAAGCTGCAGCTTCCAGTACAGCATGCTCCACTAGTTTCAAGTAATTAGCATCCTGAAGGCCAATCCAGTCACTCACCACTGAAGGAAACATCCATCCTCGGCTAAAGTTTACTTGCTGATACTCAATTTTCCTCATCCCTTCAATTAGACATTAAAAAAAATTTACTATATACATAATGAAGCCCATAGTTTCAGGGACCTCAGCAAAGGCCAGATTTAACACCGTGGAGACAGTGCTCACAGACTTTGCAGAGGGA